ATCGGTGGCGCTTCGTTCAGTTACGTATTGCTGCCTTGGCCTCTGAGCTCGTGTTTTGCGTTAGAAACGTCGTAGCCATGCCACAGGATTCAGCCTCTGAATGAAGTTATACTTAAAGTTGATATTTTGAGTTGATCTAGTCTCGATTGTTCCATGCTGGTGCGCCTTAACCGCTGAACCCGTGTTTTGCATTAGAAACGACGAGGTCATGTTAATGGGCTCAGCCTCTGAGTCAATGTCGTGTTTAGATGATTATCGAACTGTTTTATTATGTTGAGTTTTGAGACAATTTATGGGCTGAAATGTTGTGATTTGTAAATAATCGGTCTTGTGACGTGTTGTTTAAGTCACCTGCGGCGCGGCGTTAGTACGATGTCGTTGATTCTGTTAAACCAAGTTGTGTTTGTTAAAGAATGTGGTTCTCTGGATGAAAATATAGATTTTTCAAGTGAGTTGTTGTTGGACCTCAATGATCGTCGGGACGCCGAAGTGTCAGGATTGGCCGTGTTAGCATCACCAGTCAACACTCGCGCTCGTGGTCGCTCGCATAATAGGGATCGCGAGTATTGGACGTAGTTCGGCAAGTGACCAGCGACGATCGGTGGAAGGGCGCCACCGTCGACGCACAATGCTCGCTGAAGCCTGTCAACCGCCGAGCATTCACTTGTTCCGCGCGCGCCTGGCGTAAACAGCTGTTTTGTATTTTGTTCTCGATTTTTTACGCCATCGGCCCCACTTTTACTGTATTTTATTTTAATCATTGAGTTTAACGCCCTAGAGATTCATCGTCTAAATGTATATTCAGTACGTCTAAGAATAAGTTGTTATCTATTTTATACCCTTAGCAGTACGGGTAGCCGAGGGGGTAACCCACCCTCATTTTTTTAGTTTTGAGAAAGAAAAATGTTATTTTATTTGGCATTAAATACAAACAACCCCCTAATTTTCCCCGTTCTGCTATCATCCCCTATTTTTAATAGGGGTTGTTTTTATTTTTTGCCATCTTCGAAACGGCTTAGCCGATTTTGATGAAATTTTATAAGTATATTGAGTAGGTCTTAAAACAGGTTGTTATATATTTTTATACCCTTAAGTGATGAGTGGCCCACCCCCATTTTTTTATTTAAAAAAATATTTTATTTTTTTATTTGGCATTAAAAATACAAACAACCCTAAGTTTTTACCGTTCTACCATCATCCCTATTTTTTAATAGGATATTTTTAATTTTTGTTACCATCTCCGACAGCTTAGATTTTGGTAAATTTTATATGTATTCAGTAGATCTGAGAATACGTTGTTATCTGTTTTATACCCTTAAGTGATAAGGGTAGCCCACCCCATTTTTTTTTTTTATTTTTTGAAAAAAAAAATATTTTAATTTTTTTTATTTGTCATTAAAAAATACAAACAACCCTAAATTTTCACCGTTCTACCATCATCCCCTATTTTTTAACAGGGGTTGTTTTTTAAGATTTTTTGTTACCATCTCCGAAACAAACTTTTATCAAAATCGGTTAAGCGATTTTGATCTACCATCATCCCCTATTTTTTTAACAGGGGTTGTTTTTTTAATTTTTTGTTACCATCTCCGAAACGGCTTAACCGATTTTGATAAAATTTTATATGTATATTCAGTACGTCTAAGAATAAGTTGTTATCTATTCTTATACCCTTAAGTGATAAGGGTAGCCGAGAGGGTAGCCCACCCTCATTTTTATTTTGGAAAAAAAATAATTTTTTTGTTGGCCTTAAAAATACAAACAACTCTAAGTACTACCCGTTACCATCATCCCCTATTTCTAATAGGGGTTGTTTTTTGATACCATCTCCGAAACAGCTTGGCCGATTTTGATGACATTTTATTATGTATATTGAGTAGGTCTGAAAATAGTTTGTTGTCTATTTTTATACCCCTAAGTGATAAGGGTAGCCCACCCCCATTTTTTTATTTTTGAAAAAAATATTTTAATTTTTTTATTTAAGAATTAAAATACAAACAACCCTAAATTTTCACCGTTCTACCATCATCCCCTATTTTTTTTTTTTTTGTTTTTAAGATTTTGTTACCATCTCGAGAAACGGCTTGGCCGATTTGATGAAATTTATAAGTATATTGAGTAGGTCAGAAAATGAGTTTGTTATATTTTTATACCATTATAAAATAAAAAAAAAAAAACATATTTTATTTTGGAAAAAAAAATATTTTTTTATTTGGTCTTAAAAATACAACAACTAAATTTTCACCGTTCTACCATCATCCCTATTTTCTAATAGGTGTTGTTTTTTGATACCATCTCGAAACAGCTTGGCCGATTTTGATGACATTTTATTATGTATATTGTGTAGGTCTGAAAATAGTTTGTTATCTATTTTTATACCCTTAGAGTGGTAAGGGTAGCCCACCCCCATTTTTTTATTTTGAAAAAAATTATTTTAATTTTTATTTGGCATTAAAAATACAAACAACCCTAAATTTTCACCGTTCTACCATCATCCCGTATTTTTTAATGAGGGCTGTTTTTTAAGTTTTTGTTATCATCTCCGATTGACCGATTTTGATAAAATTTTATATGTATGTATATTCAGTATGTCTAAGAATAGGTTGTTATCTGTTCTTATGCCCTTAAGTGATAAGGGTGGCCGAGAGGGTAATACCCTCATTTTATTTTTGAAAAAAAAAATATTTTTATTTGGCCTTAAAAATACAAACAACTCTAAATTTTCACCGTTCTACCATCATCCCTATTTTTTAATAGGGGTTGTTTTTAAGTTTTTTTTTTTTTATATTTTTTTTCTAGTTTGCCGATTTTGATGAAATTTTATTATGTATATTGAGTAGGTCTGAAAATAGTTTGTTATCTATTTTTTATACCCTTAAGTGATAAGGGTAGCCCATTCCCACTTTTTTATATTTTGAAAAAATATATAGGGGAGAGCGGGTACAGTTGTAGCAGTTTTTAGAAATTTATTTTTCAAAAATAGAATGAGAAATTTCGCGAAGTGTACTTATTATCTTTAGATAGCCTAGACATTTATCATCAAAATGCACATAAGAAATCGAAGGTATATTCACCTATGTAGTCTTAAAAAAGGCAACAGTGGTGTGATGACATGTGTTACAATTGTACCCCGCGGTGGTACAGTTGTAACATAGAGGAGGGACAAATGTAACGTGTTTAGTATGTTGATTTTTTCATCTGAAGCAAATAAAATTTTAGCTCCTAGAATCTGACAAACGTTAAGATATGATTTGGATGCATTCAAACAATAATAATTGCTAGAAATAATGCCAACTTTATTTATGGAAAACTGGTTTCGAAAACAATCTTCAAAAGTTATACCTATTCTATAGAATTTTTCCTAAGAATAATTCTAACTTAGTCACAATCGTAGATTTTTCCAAACAGAGTTCTAAAAAAACTAATGCGCCTATAAAAAATACCAATAATAAAACAAGATAGTAAAAACTTTAAAAAATATCAACTTGCGAATTTCCTTTTTTTCCAAAAATGCTTTTTCTTGTTCAGGGGATAAAATTCGAGTATATGGATTGTAACCACTTTAGGAGTTTCACCAGCTTGTATTTTTTTTAAATAACGGAAAAGTGTTACTTGTCGCAACTTGTATGCAATGTATCGCAACATATAGCAACTTGTCGAAATCCAAGATTTTCGTTCACAACCAAACCCGCAGCTCTTTTTATAAGTTCCCTTATCACTATTTATTATTATTACTTAGGCATGTTAATTAAAAAA